AGTAAAAATAGAAATAAGTTGAATTAAAACAAAATTTCCATTTAATGCTATTTCCTTCCTGAAATAGAAAACGATGAGTACAGCAGACCAAAGGAGCTTGGTGTAAACTTGATTTAAAATGTTGATATGCGAATAAATTCCTGGAGTATCAACTTCAATTTATTTTTTTTCCTGGCTGTATACCTCTCTGGAACATGCTAATTATCCGTATATATATGCAGCTAGATCAGAGAAAGTCAGGGGAAAAAATCCAAAGGAATCGATTGATGTGCAGCAAAGATTGGCACTTTTGAAATTAAGTTACTAATCAAATTCAGACAGACCTTAACCCGATGTAAACATTGAATGTGAATAGATCGAGAAGACCGCAAATACAAGTACAAACATCGAGACGACCTTTTCGTAAAAATGAATGAAAAATAGTAAAAAGATGCCTACTTTATAAGAATATTTATCTTTAATTTTCTAACCTGCACAGACAGACGTTTATATTGTTGTATTCATGAAAAGACACTATTTCTATATTGAATTTTAATGTGACAAAAGCAGACCGGTGTACTCGAAAACCTAGAATGTAAAAAATAAGTATATTTTGGGGAATTGTAACATGCAGGACTTTGTGGAACACTCAAAAAAGTGGTGATCCGAAAGATCTTTAGATTTTGTATGTACATGATTTTTTCCAATTTATTTTATCAATATGCAGCAAGGATTGGCATTTTTTTAGATTTCAGTTTCACAAACTTCTAATGCAATTATCTCGATAAATACTGACCATAAAACATCGTATATGTGCATGTTTATTTCTAATAACACAATTTAAAAAATAATTTCTTTAAAATGTACAATTGTTATTTAGAAATAACTTTTGATCAGTGTCGTCACCGGCATTGTTTTGTTATTGATTTTCTAGACTCTATCATAAGAAGAGGTAATTTTCTTTTGTTCTTTTTCACTAGATTTCCCACTGGGTGGTTTAGACACAGTGATGTAGACTGGCTTGCAGGTTTCAAAAGATTTTAAACAAACATTAAAGAAACTCGATTGGTTTCAAGAAAGAAGACAAATAGCAAAGGTAAAATACAGTATGGAGGACTAAGAACACCTGTGCACCCTATTTTGTAAATCATTAAATACAGATGAAAATATAAATATATTTATCAGGAAAAATTTTTTGTTGAGAAGATGAAAGGTGTTGAAATAGTAAAAAGTGCAAAAAATGTTCTGGAAAATCTTTACCAAAAAAAACAATATGTTTTCACAAGTTTTTTTTAATTTTTGAATAATTACTTTTACTTCTGAATACACAAAAAGAATTTACATGCGCATTAAAAATGATTCTAAAAGTACTGTTTTGAGTGTTAGATTCAATATAAGAAAAACTGTTCCTAAGATATTGTTCTGGCTGTCTTTGGTTCATTGTTCTTTACAGTGGAGACAAAAGAATATATCCCCTCTTCTCAGACCTGCTTCTTCTTCATTTTGGTTTGGAAAAGTAAGAAGTTATCATTTTGGTAATATGGGAAGGCAGAAAATGAACCCGTTTCGAAAAAAAAAACATTTTTATGAGCAACACCTACTTACTCTGAACTTCAATAACTATTTCGATCTCACAAAATTTGAATTTTAACAAATAAGTATTACAATTTCCCTAAAGAACAACAGATAGGAGTATGATCATTGAGTGACATGCATGATATTGTTTTCTCTAAAAGCGGTAAATGAGGTGCAATTATAATATCCAAAAAGACACACTACACTAATGAAGGCTTCGCCAACCGTTAAAGCTTTATATAAAAATAAGTAGATGTGGTATGATTGACAATTAGACAACTATCCACCAGTTCAAATGAAGTGGATGTAAGCAGTTATAGGCAACAATGCGGCCTTCAACAATGAGAAAAACCCATACCGTATGGTCGGCTATTAAAGGCCCCGACATGAAAAATATGAAACAATTCAATTGAGAAAACTAACGGCCTAATTTATAATAAAACAATTTACGAAAATCAAATATGACAGACATGAACCAACGACAACCACTGAACTACAGGCTCCTGACTTTGGGACAGGCACATAAAGAATGTGGCGGGGTTAAACATGTTTGTGAGCGCTAAACCCTTCCCCTAACCGGGGACATTGGTGTAACAGAACAACATAAGAACAAACTATAAAAATCAGTTGAAAAAGGCTCAACTTATTAGATCGATACAAAGACAAACATCAAACAAAAACACAGACAGGACGTGGCAGGGTATATATCCATCCCTCATCCCTAACAACAACAAAAACACTAAGTACAGATATGAGAGTACTCGCAATTATTACTGTTAGTTCAAAGCCGATAAGCCGATAACAACTAATAAAAAAACGTGTATCTAAGACTAAAAATATCAATCAGTACACATCCAACATCCAATGGATTTAGTGTAAAGACGTCATTAACAGTGAGAGAAAAACATGACCTTGTGCAATGCCAAACTATAGATATCGACAGATTGTAGTACCTTGAACGTACATATATGTAATATTTAGTATGGTTTTAATTCACTGATAACAAAATAAATATTTATACCAATAAAAACAATAATCAAAGATTTAATTACAGTGTTGAATAGGTAACCTTTTAGAATAAGTTTATTAAAGGATTGATAAGTTTACCTGGATCGTTTCTAAATTTCCGGGCTCGGTTAATAACATCACCGTAAAATTTAGGATGTGCTATTCCGTTTGAAATAAGTTTTCTACAGGTACAGCCAAACTTGCAAACCAAATATTTGTATCTATGGAAGAATTTAGTAAAGGTTTTAGGTAATTTGTGGTAACGAAATCCCTGACTTAATAATTTGCTAGTAATACATAGATTACGCTCATTGAAATCCAAAACGTCACTACAGACACGAGCATAGCGAACGAGTTGGGATATATAAATACCGTAAGACGGTGCCAAAGGAACATCACCGTCCAAAAAAGTAAAAATTAACAATAAGGAAAGATAAACTGTTATCACAGAGATATGTCTCGCCTTTTTGTAATTTTGATAATGCAAATGTTGAAATTAAAATAGCAATAATTTAACATGTAAGTTATGCAAATATTCAAAAGTCGATGAACCATGACTGAAAGTACATGGCTATACAATCTCCATGGAAATGAGATGTGCCAATGCTAATACAACTGCATACCAAATACCATTGACTTATTATAAGTCGTTCTCTTTAAACAAACCCAAACACAAACATTAACTTGTAAACTATGTAAAAGTTTCAAAGTCAATGAATCATGATGAGGGGGTGGGACTGTAAAATCTCCATGAAAATGATACTTGCAAATGCCAATAAATTTGCATACCAAATATCATTGACTTAACATTAGCAGTTCATCTTAAACTGATCTAATCACAAACTAATACATGTAATCTAAGCAAACGCCGACGCCGGAAACAGCATACCTAGGTCTCGCTTTTTGACTCCGTCAAGGCGATACAAACAAGCATCCCTTTTGTCGTAAATTTTGTGTAGAGTTTCAGGTGTAATACTGAAATATCTAAATCTAGGAAAGGACAGTTATTGCTGTTAATATTTGATTTATTCAAAGTAAGTTCCTTTGGATAAATTTCAGCAGTATATTTAGAGAATTCTTGATTATTTAATGAAACAATATCATCAAGATAACGGTAAGTGTTGTTGAATTATCATTCAAATGGAATGTAGACGGTTCTTTACTGAGTTTGGCCATAATCTGTGATTCATAACAGTATAGGAACAAGTCAGCTATTAAAGGGACACAATTGGTGCCCATACCTAGGTATACATACAACCTGTCGATAAACGTTTTTGCCGAAACGTACATAGGAGAAAATTTAGGGCTTTAATCATCTCATCACACCTCCAGTAAGTATATCTAGCATATTTACCTTTCTCATCTGAGAAAAAGGCTTTATATGAGTTGCAACAAATAAATTTGCAATCAGATTTATCAAACGACCATTTAATTACATAGGAAAACTATTGTTTGATAAGATTGTGTGGAAGTGTAGGTTAAAAGAGTGGAAAAGTCAAAACTGTCAACCGAATCAAAAGGGCCATCAAAAGCACGTAATTTATCTAAAACATCTAAAGAATTGTTTACACTCCATAAATGGTGAATTCCACTATTTTCATATCTTTTAATTACGAAAATTAATGATAAGTTCTTTGATGGTAGTTAAGGAACTCGTTAAAAGCACCGAAAGATAAGTAGTAGAACACTTACTAGAGGCCGAGATGAAACGATATTTTACGGGTTTTTTGTGTAGTTTAGGTAACCAATACATAGTGGGGACCTTCAAATGTTCAGAGGAGGCCTTAAGCTGAGCTGTGGTAGTGACATGATAATTTACTTTATAACTCTCTGTGGAGCGAACGGCCTTGAATGTAGACCGTACTGTAACCTATAATGGTTTACTTTTATAAATTTTGACTTGGATGGAGAGTTGTCTCATTGGCACTCATACCACATCTTCTTATATCTATTGAATGTATAATTTCATTCTTAAGGACTTCCGTGTAGTATTTACATCATACCACCACCACATTGTTGCCGGGCTACTTTGTCGGCCGGTACGAACACAAAACGCTTTCCGAGTACTTGAACTTAGTTTTTAATCCTAAAAATGGGCATACTATTTACTCTTTTATTTATTTCTAGATTATTTTCGAAATGTGATATGCAGATATCAACAATATTCAGACATTTATTTAAATAGGAATTAAGTCACTTTTGGTCAGATTTCTCCCGTTTACACCATTTTTTACGATAGAATGAAAGAGCATCTTTAATAACCTGAATGGATTTATTTTCCAAATCTTATGGATCAACCTCAAAGTTATAAGATTTTTTTGACAAATAATACAAAACAATTTATTTTGAAATGTATTTTATTATATCCACAAATTTATCAGCGAAACATATCGGATATAGAAAAATGGTAAAATGACTGGGATTAATAAGAAAGCATGGAAAGTTATTCTTTTATTAATTAATGTCATCTAACAGCACTGAATATCTGTTCTTCATTTTATATATTTCTTCTGGGTATCATCGATAGCTGATCACGGGCATCATCAGAAGGGTTCCAGTAATAGGTATAGTCTTTTGGACGTTTTTTCCTTTGCTTGTCAGTCATATCATCATAAGAGAAATATGGATACGGGTAGTAAGAATAGTACGGATTCCAGATTTGGGGGTCGACTGCAAAATTGCTCGTTGGTTGCAAATAGGAGTCGTTCCTTGCTTGACCTGTGTAATTACGTTGTGGGAATCGTACAGAAGGAACAGAACGAGGATCGAATCTATATGTGGGAGGGTTTTCCCATCTTTGTACACATCTTGCTAAATGTCCGGAAACAGGTGGAATATTTACAGAGCTAGCAGGAAAATATCCGGATTGAGCAGGAATATATCCACTATATGGAGGATACCACATCGGAAGCTGTACCGGAGGACAGGTACATCTGTGTGAGACATCATGAACATGACAAGGAGCACAATTACAATTACTCTCGGGTATATAGGCTCCGATTGGTTCTTTTTCACTCCTTGTCGCATTTTTCAGTTTTCGTCTCATTCCTCTTTCGTGAAAGGCGAACAAAAACGCCAAGAATGCAACAAAAATCTACAAAATTACGAAATATTCATTTAATACAAATATTACTATAAAATATGATGAGAATAAATAAATACAACTGAACTAATACAACATCTACCCCAATGAATAAGATGATGCTACTCAACCTACCCCAATGAATAAGATGATACTTCTAAACCTACCCCAATGAATAAGATGATACTTCTAAACCTACCCCAATGAATCAGATACTTCTAAACCTACCCCAATGAATAAGATGATACTTCTAAACCTACCCCAATGAATAAGATAATTCTAAACCTACCCCAATGAATAAGATGATACGTCTAAACCTACCCCAATGAATAAGATGATACTTCTAAACCTACCCCAAATGAATAAGATGATACTTCTAAACCTACCCCAATGAATAAGATATTTCTAAACCTACCCCCAATGAATCATAAGATACCATAATGATACCGATACCTATCTTGAAAAAAACCCCAAAAATACAATTAATCTCATGCCTATCCCAATGAATACGATAATACAATTAAACCGATACCTACCCCCAATGAATAAGATGGTACAATAAAACAGAAGCCTCCCCCCCCCCCCCCCCCCAATGAATAAGATGCTACAATCAAACAGATACCTACCCCAATGAATAAGATGATACAATGAAACAAAAACTTACCCCCAATGAATAAGATCATACAATAAAACAGATAATTACAATAATTAATAAGGTGATACAACTAAACAGATACCTACCTCCAATTAAAAAGATGATACAATTTAAGAGATACCTACCCCAATGAATAAGATGATAAATGAACAGGAAAGAAATCCGTCACTGTAGCTCTTCAGATAATCAGAAACAGCTGTGTAGCATCCCTAAAATATATATATTAGAGTACACACGCTGAAATGACTCGCCTGCTGTATTTACCATGATTGATTTTATATTGATAGTACTAAAGATAAAATGTTACTACAAGTAACACATAACCTTTTATAAAACGTTATCAATTATCTATGAAAATGAGGTCGCCAGACAAATAGATATGTACACCTTACAATCATTCCATTCACCAACTACAGTTTTCCTATAGTATAAAACTTTTTGTCAAATGAACCATGAAAATGACGTCAAGGCCAGGTGAACCTTGCCAGACACACCTTACAATCATTCCATACATCAAATATAGTTGACCTATTGCTTATAGTATCTAAGAAACAGACTTAACCAGGAAAATTTAACATTGACCAATGAACAATAAAAATGAGGTCAAGATCCGATGATGACTGCCAGACACACCTTACTAATTAGGTCATTTTAAGTTGGGTTGTTCCTCGCTCAAAAACTTTACCAAAGCTCGTAAAATGAATTAGCGATATTGTGGGAAATCATCTAAAAAATTATCTAAAAAATATGTATCCACAAAAGATGAATGTTCGGTGCCATAGTTAAATCATCGGAAATGATTTTACATATGTTAAATTATACCTTGTCAATCCAAGCATTTTCTAACGTTGGATTTACAGTGCACGTTGCCCCAGATAAACTAACAGCAGTATTTTTTAGTGCTTCCTTACAGCAGTATCCGGGGACTTTATCCGCACCTCTTGTCGTGTTCCACGCTGTTCCACGAAAATCGTCTACTTCTGTAACAGGATTCACACCACAGCAATCAAACTATTGGAAAACAGCAATACAATTATATATATTGGTTGATAGTTTTTTTTCAGTTTCTATGGACTCCAACCACCCTTTAACCTTTGAGTTCGGTACTTCTGTTGTTCTATTACTGTTTCTAATATTATCATGCGACTTAACTTCATTTAAAGATGATTTATAACAGTTAGTATGTGACAATGTTTGTATGTTGGTTTGTTTTTTCATTTTATTTATAAATGTATATTCATTCATTTGAAAGTTCAAACTTCTTAATGTATAAAGCTAAACTTATACTTGTATCTTCTGTTTAATTTGATCTCTAGAAAAGCAACAACAATTCAAAAAGCCTTTAAATTGACTATTGCAAAGAACTTTCCAAAGCGAAAGTACATTGTTTACATCAAACAGTGTCATTTTCTAACAGTGCATACTTAAATTTGTCGAAGTAAGTAACTAACCCATAGGAAAAGATTATTCCATGCTTGTGTGATAGACTTGGAACTAGTATTCCCTTCGTATTGGCTCAAAAGAGATAACATTTTGCTTTTAACTGTATAAGTAACCTGGAAATACAAAACTTAAACAGCTAGAGCGTCGTTGTAGCCAGGATATTTCATAACAGTTACGTCAAAAAAAGATGAATATGGGTGGTCAAATGCATGAACATACAAGCTTGCTATATTTTTTAGAAACCAATAAAACAAAACATTTTTAAAACAATAATATTTATGCTTTCTTTAAATCGATTTTTCTTGCTTATTTAATGAACGATCTAAATATTGACCAACATTATGTGTACTTTGATCTGAACCTTTGATACGCACACTTTTCCAATTGTTTTGTCTTCACTTTCACTGTGACTTTTGCTCGATTAAATTGATTTCTGAGCATGCAAGACTTATTAGCGAGTAATATTTTCCCCAGTGAGGTACGACGATGGACTTTGATCAGTTAAAAAAAAAAAAATGTTGTGTACAAGTTATTAGTTTGCATTCCACTCTTCTTGAACACATTTGGACTGTTCATAATTTTGGGGTCATTTGTTTTAATAAATTGTCAAAGATATATATTCCCGGTGTTTTTGAACACTCTTTTTGTCGTTTATTCATTTGATGATATAGTGTAAACATGGCCAGCATTGTTGATCAGCAGGATAAATTTGTCCAAGAAATTCTGAACCTATAGCAGAGAATATACATCAAAACACAATCATGTGTTCACCAAGGATTTTTGGTACCGAATTGGAACAGCTGTAGGAATTTTAACAGGATATTTGTCTAGAATTCAAATTGAAGTTGTTAAAGACACGTTTATTCGCTGCAACGGTTCATGAGCTTCTACTTTCGCAACGTGAAGCAGTTAAAAAATTCTTTTAAAAACTAGTGGTCAGGGTTTCTTTCATGTAAATGCAAAGGGGTGCAGCCCTTTTTAATGTAAAAACCTGAAATTATTTGAATCTTGAATAATATTGAATTCTGAAAAATTGATAAGAAACGTATGATAATAAACTGTTAACACGGAGATATGTCTCGCCTATTTGTTATTTTGATAATGCAAATGTTGAAATTAAAATAGCAATACTTTAACATGTCAGTTATGCAAATATTCAAAGTCAATGAACCATGACTGAAGGTACAGGGCTAAACAATCTCCATGGAAATGAGATGTGACAATGCTAATACAACTGCAAACCAAGTACCATTGACTTTTCATAAGTCGTTCCCTTTAAACAAACCTAAACACAAACATTAACTTGTAAACTATGTAAAAGTTTCAAAGTCAATGAACCATAATTAGGGGATGGGGTTACATAATCTCCATGGAAATGAAACTTGCAAATGCCAATACATTTGCATACCGAATATCATTGACTTAACATTAGTGGTTCATCTTGAACTGACCTAATCACAAACTAATACATGTAAACTAAGTAAATGTTTCAAAGTCAATAGACCATGACTGAGGGGTAAGGACCAAATATTCTCCATGGAAATGAGATGTGCTAATGCTTATACAACTGCATACCAATTATCATTGACCTACCACTAACAGTTCCCCTTAAACTGACCTAATCACAAATTAATACATGAAAACTAAGCAAAAGTTTCAAAGTCAATAGACCATGAATGAGGTAGCGGGGCCAAATATTCTCCATGGAAATGAGATATGCCAATGTTTATACAACTGCATACCAAATATCATTGACATACCACTAGTGGTTCCCCATAAACTGACCTAATCACAAACTAATACATGAAAACTAAGCAAAGTTTCAAAGCATGCACGGCTAATGGGGTTAGTTAGTTCATACTAAAGCATCAGTGAAAGGAACTTGAACCTTAGCCATGCGCAAAAGTTGGGTTAGTTTTCATCATACATTTCTTATCAATTTTCCAGAATTCAAAATTATTCCAGATTCAAATAATTCATTGTTTAAATGTAAAAAGCAAAAGATGTTGTGAAATTCCCGATCCCATAATTCACTCACATGCTGATACAGTTTGGGGAATTGCAATTGTAGCTCTAGTAGTAGATTCAAGTGTTAGTCAAACATTTTTGGTATGTAAAATCCTTGTACTGAGTGAATCATTTCAATTCATTATATTGTCACTTTAAATAGTGTGTTACATTAAATTCAAGTATTGCTGTCAGCAAACAAAACATTTTAACTTTTGTATCAGCTATCTGTACTGGCAAGTTGGTTCAAGTAACATATTTTACATAAAGCAAAAGTGTTTTATTTACCTTTATTCCGAAAATACATCATTTAAGATCTTACCTCGTCCCTCAGCTTAAACCAGAGATAAATTACAAAGATCTGAAAACCACATATCATTATCACTAGAATACCAAACTGAAAATCAAACAGAAATTAAAAGAATGTTATATATATATTTTTCAAAATTATTATCACTTGCATCTGATAGATTGCCATTGTAAATTAACCTACATAGTTTTAATTTTATGAAGAGTAAGGATCATTTGTTTGTGTTTAAATTACAGCTGAGTGATTAATAAAAGTCCCTGAATCCTCTCCATCACACATTCGTGTATTTACTTTGATGACATCATGTTATGGTAAGCCGCCATATTTTAATAAAAAAAAATTATATAAATGTACTAGTAATAGATGACTCACCCAGAAGTTTCGATAGACTTTGACAGTTTCCGAATATTTATTTCAAAGATAAATAAACAGTACACTCAAAACCAAGAACAAAATTAAACGAACCAATCATCTTTCAAATACAAATTATCATCGTGTATTGATAAATCGGTCATCTAAGGATGTTTGTCCTTTTTCTTATAGCATGAAGTAAAATCTGATTTTTTTTCTAAGGTTGTGCTTGTAAATAATTATTCTCGTCCCAATGGCATGTTTTCATTTTGCCTAATCCTGTAAAATTTGAAAGTTTTATTAAAAATCGATCTAAAGCTGAAAAGTTATTTGTATTTTACTATGTAACTGACTTACCAAAGCCAATACTGGTACAGATCTGTAAAATATTCCTAAGAAACCAAACAAAGTTACCAAGAGCAGTATGATACCCACAACCAGTATTCCTATAACTATCCTGGTAATGACTGACCCCACTGTAATCTCGTACGATATCGTCAACTGGTCAAACAGGACGATAACTTTGTTATCGGATGCAATATCACCAGATCTGTACAGAACACCAGATACCACTATTAGTCCAATGGCCAATAACTTAAAAAGAAACAAAGTGCTTCAGTTCTAAACTCTAAGAATATATATTTTTATATATACATTATTGGTGAACAGTCTGGTAAGAACCAGTAAAAGTATGTATTTCTTTTGTAACCGAATGTGCACAACATTATGAACATATTCGTGACTTCAATAAAATACATTTACCATGCACTACATATAATCACAGTTTTCTTTTTTATTACGTATTGACAACACAAAAGGCAGCAACAACATCATTCCTTGATTTCGGTCTTGCGCTTACACGTTAAATAATACCGCCGTCTCTAATGATGCGGGGTATAAAGTGATGCACATGTACGTCCGTCTGTTCGTCCGCCATTCACTTTAAAAGAACCAAAGTGCTACTGTTCTAAACTCTAAGAACTGGAAATTTGTATGTTTATTTTTTTTCAATAAGTCTAATAGTTTCATTAGTTAATATTCACTCCAGTCATCATAAACTAAAAGTTGATATATTATATCTTGCAGTGAAACGCATTACATTAGACAAAAATGTATACGGCATCCATATACTGTACGAATAAAGTCTTCTCCAAGGAGTTTCCTTATTTGCTACGGATCAGTGGTTGGTACGTATCTCGACCGTGTGGTTTGAGGAAATCATTTAATGCATGAAATTATCATTAACAGAAAAGAAAATGGCAAATATAAGTACTACTGTATTTTTTTATTTGATAGCTAATTGACTATTCTAGAGCGTTTTGTTTGTGTTTCTGTGTGATATAATGTAGTTAGTACACAAGTGCGTGTATCAAACAGTCCTCACACAAACGTGACTTGTTTCTCGAGTTTGACTCAGCCTTTAGATTCTAAAATATCACATTGCAAATTAACGAACGGATATCGCATAACAAATACAATAGTGCACAAGCTGAAATGTCTCGCATGTCTTACTGACCATTGATTTTATGTTAAAAGTCTTAAGGATAAAGATTTTATTGAAAGCATAAAGAAACTTAACACTTTTAAAAATCTATGACAATGAGGTCAAGGTCAGATAAATTGTGTCAGACAGACATATACACATTACAATTTTTTTTATACACCAAATATAGTTGACCTATTGTGTATGCTAATTGAAAAACAGACCAAAACACAAAAACTTAACATTGACCAATGAACCATAAAAATAAGGTCAAGGTCAGGTGATACCTTCCAGACAGACTTGGCTTTTAACTAGCTCTCAAATCGTACTTTCGTGTTAATTTGACCTGTTGATACAATTTGTAATGCATTTTTGTTACTTAATGTTTACTTATCTTGTGCTATATTTCGTCTTTTTTTAATATATGCCACCTTTGATAATTGTTTGGTATGGCGATAAATTTTCACTTCTGTTCTCGTACTATGAACAACAAAATTATTTATTTTGTAAAAAATATTTCCGTACTCCATGTATACCTTACAACAAACTTATTTTTATTTACCTGTGTACGTTATTTTATTTGGCGGCATTTTTTCCAAGGTTCGTTTCTCGTTTTTTATATAGATTAGACCGTTGGTTTACCTGTTTGAATGGTTTTACACTAGTCATTTTTAAGGCCCTTTATAGCTTGCTGTTCGGTGAGCCAAGGCTCCGTGTTGAAGGCCGTACTTTGACTTATAATGGTCTACTTTTACAAATTGTGACTTGGATGGAGAGTTGTCTCATTGGCACTCATACCACATCTTCTTATATCTATGTACACCCAGGAACATATATATTGACAGATATAGATATACTGTTCCCAGGTACACCTTACAATCATTCCATACACCGAATATATAGTTGACCTATTGCTTATAGTACTTGAAAATCAGACCAAAACACAAAAACTTAACACTGACCAATGAACCATGAAAATGAGGTCAAGGTCGGATGAAACCCGCCAGACTGACATGTACCCACTACAATCATATTATACACCAAATATAGCTGACCTACTGCTTATAGTATTTGAGAAACAGACCTAATCACGTAACTTTAACCTTGATCACTGATCCTTTAAATGAGGTCGAGGTCAGGTGAACTTTGTCTGACGGACATGTAGACGTTGCAAGGAACCCATATACAAAATATAGTTATCCTATTACAGTATTACTCATTATAAGTGAAAAATTCACATGACAAAAAAACTCAATTTTTTTTTCAAGCAGTCGTTGAACCATGAAAATTAGGTCAAGGACAATAGACATATGACTGACGGAAACTTCGTAACATAAGTTATCTGCATACAAAATATGAAGCATCCAGGTCTTCTACCTTCTGAAACATAAAGCTTTATACAAATAGTTTACGCCGCCGCCGCCGGATAGTAATACCTATGTCTCGCATACTGCGACTTTCGTCACAGGCGAGAAAAAAAACAAAAAAATATATCGTAACAAAAAGACAAAAGTTTGTAGCGCAACGAAAAAAAATAATATTGCGCTACATAAAGACAAACAAATATCCCAAAATAGTATTTCTCCGCCCAAAACGTGGCATTTAGTAAAAAGAGCAGCCTTGTCGTCTCCGAGTCAAAATAAATGTTTCTAAGTAGGGCGATATGTGTCTGAGTAGATCGATATGTGACTGATTAGGGCGATATGTCTTCCTGCAAAGAAAGAACTGAGAGTTATCTCACATCTCAGAATTCGCAGTGAGACCTTCTGTCTCAGAAAATCAAACTTCAATCGATTTTGACATTTGAACTTGTATACTCAATATCACTGCAGAGGATAACAAAAACACAAAGGTTAAATTATTTGATACTGTCCACTCGTTTGTATTTTTTTAACTGACCTTTCAATTCTCTGGGCTTATTAGCTATTTCACATATAATTAATTACCAATCAAGATGGCAACATAAAATTGTGATTGGAGTGGATACTGGTGTTAGAGTATCACCATAAAGGTCACAATACCATTGTAACAGTGTGGAATATCTCTAAGGTTCTACCAGCCTTTATTTTGACCTTTTCTGCAATGAATCTAAATGTCAAAATCTATGCAAGCTAATAATTGTCTGTAAAAAAATATTAATATTTGTATTTTTTCAATCTTGGTCGTGCTACATTTTAAAATTTTATAATTTTTTGTCTGTGTACCATATAAAGTGTCATTACATTGAGTTAAGATCAATCTATAATGTTATAAATGTAAAGACCGTTTTAGTGGAGGTTGCCAGGTAACAGAAGAACTGCATATATTTTCATATTCTGTGTTGGAGGTTGTCAGACAAGAAAAAAAACTACATATATATTTATACATACATACCAACAAAATGAAGTTTAGAAAAACTATCACTAATTTTGCAAATTTCGCAAAGCCTGGTGATAACAATGGCATCTTTCCTGTAAATGACAAATTATGCAATCACTATGGTATGAAAAGACACTATAACGATAGGTCATGACCCAACTGAATGTAACCAATCATCTATCGTTAAATGAGTTTTTTTGTGGGGGTTTTGGGGGATCAGATATGATTATTCAAGTTCATATTCGATATCTTCATTTCATTTTTTCATATTAGTAGTAGTCAAAAGTAAGTTCCACTTAAATCATCACTATGATAATTTGTTATTTGTGAATATGTTGTCGCTTGTAATTTGTGAATATGTTGTCGCTTGTAATTTGTGAATATGTTGTCGCTTGTTATTTGTGAATATGTTATTGCTTGTAATTTGTGAATATGTCATTGCTTGTAATTTGTGAATATGTTATCGCTTGTAATTTGTGAATATGTTATCGCTAGTAACTTAATGTTAGTGGACTTTTGACTTAAAAAAACAAGTTTGCTTAAATTTTTAAATTGTTCAACCTCTGCTAAATATTTACTATAATCTCTTCATAAGAAAGTTCATCAAAAGGAATTGAAAAATACGGCCGTGTTTAGACCACGAAATTTACACTGAGTACAGACAAACCAATGAACCTGGGAAAGTTTGGCGCATACTTGAGTACATTTTGTGCTGTTAGCACGATCATATACAGACAAATCTGTTCACCTGAAAACGTATTATGGCATGGCAGGACCTGGATAAATAAAATTAGAATCGTCTTATATGTTTAAAAAAATAAAAACTTTCTTTGATTTTGAGATTCGGTTTTTTCCCGTTCCCACATGATGTACAAAAATAAACTAAGATTTTTTTTATTAGTTGTTATTGGCTTTGAACTAGCTGTCAGTAACTGCGAGTATCTCAGATATGTACGAAGTGTCTTTTTTGTTGTGGGGATGTATGAATACCCTGTCACTTCCGGTCTGTGTTTTTGTTAGAGGTGTTTCTGCTTTGTATCGATCTAAAGAGTTAAGCCCTTGTCAACTGATTTTGACAGTTTGTTCTTACGTTGTACTGTTACACCACTGTCCCAGGTTACGAGGAGGGTTTGGCGCCAACGAACTAGTTCAACCGCCAGTGCCACATTCTGTATGTTCTTGTTCCAAGTCAGGAGCCTATAATTCAGTTGTTGTCGTTTGTTGCTGAATAACATATTTGTTTTTAGTTCATTGTTTTGCACATGAATTAGGCCGTTAGTTTTCTCGTTTGAATTGTTTTACATTTGTCATTTCGGGGTCTTTTATTGCTGACTATGCGGTATAGGTTTTGCTTATTGTTGAAGGCCGTACGGTGACTATAGTTTTAAACTTCTATGTTATTTGGTCTCTGGTAGAGAGTTGCCTCATTGGCAATCTTACCACATCTTCTTATTTTTATAAGTTGGGGAAAACGATCCCCATGTTCCCCTTCTGTAATAGGTGCATGCAGTGAATTGTATTTGGTTGACATGGACAATAGATATATGTACGGAAGTACTTACTAAATTATAAAAAAACTAAATGTTTGCGTTATAACAGTTATACCACACAGGTTAGCGTTATTTCGCTAAGGATAATGTTAAAACGCAAACATAGGAAGATATATATATATAAAGTGTGTGTGGCGCTGATACGCTTCCGTATATCTGCACCACAATATATGATTTTTAAACTTTGTAAAAGAGTGGACCGTATCAAATTGTATTCAGGTGTATGTTTATTTTAACCATCTTCTTCAGGCTTCGAAAAAAAGGAATCTCTAAATCCAAAAAAGTTTTTGGTGTTTTTAACACATAAATGCATATAACTTTTACATACCATGCTTCTGCATGTAAATTTGTGATGTAAACACGGCCATATTTGTCAATTCCTTTAGATGAACCTATATTATTTAGCTTCATGAACTGTTAAAATTTGAGTTCACTGAAGTAATCAAAATTTGCCCATTTTTTAAAGCTTACAGAAATTTACCTTGGACTTCGTGTAGCTCACAAATGTGTTGCTTCTTGTATAAAGTACCTCAATAAAGTTAGCTCAATACAGGTGAGAACAGTTCAAATTTATTCCTGACCCGGAAAAAGTTCACAGGACACCAGTTCAAATTAGTCCTGTTCACACAGTGACCATTCTAACAAAAGAATGTCATTTGAAAGTTTACTTTGTTGCAAGAATTTACCGTAGCCGATACCGCTAATTTCTTACAGTGTTATTCTTTTTTTTATGTTTTTTTTACCCTTTGAAAACAATAGATATTCGTATAAATCCCAATAGACCTTTTTATTACACCGAAAAGGCTTTTGTGTTACTCCCCACAGGCACTTGTCTCAGAAAAAAAATTCCTATATACCTTAATATAAAACATGTTATATTAAGGTATATAGGAAAATTTTTTCTGAGACAAGTGCCTGTGTTACTCCCAAAAGGATTTCGTATTGCTCCCAATAGGCTTTTTGATTACTGACAATAGGCTTTCGTATTACTCTCAATACGCTTTTTTATTACTCCCAATAGGCTTTTTTATTACTCACAATAGACTTCTGTGTTACCGGTACTCCCAATAGGCTTTTTTATTACTCCCAAAAGGCTTTTGTTACTCCCAAAAGGCTTTTGTGTTACTCCCAATAGGATTTTTTATTACTCACAATAGGCTTTCATATTACTCCCCATTGGATTTCGTATAAATCCCAATAGGCTTTCGTATCACTCCCATAGGATTTCGTATACATCCCAATAGACTTTCGTATTACTCCCAATAGGCTTTTTTATTACTCACTATAGACTTTCGTATTACTCCCCATTGGATTTCGTATAAATCCCAATAGACTTTCGTATCACTCCCCATAGGATTTCGTATTACTCCCAATAAACTTTCGTATCACTCCCCATAGGATTTCGTATAATCAATCTATGACTTTTAATTGGCTTTCGTATATATGGTAGACTCAGATCTACGTCCGGTCTCTAATTGACGTCTGTTCCTCAAATCGACGTCCCAATCTGACGTCACATTCTCAAATCAGTGTCCAATATTTTGACACTCTAATCGACGTCCAATGTGACGTCATATATTGCCAAAACGACGTCCGAGCGATTGTAGTTTCTCTAATCGATGTCCAATATCAATAAATAATAAATTACTGCATGTATACATGACTTTTTGTACATGTATAAGACTTTGGTTGATTTTGGAACATTCAAATACGAAATAAAATTATGAATTTTGGTCTGATTGTTTTTTTATAACAACCCAATTTTCAAACAGTTACAGACTTCCCATAAAGATTTTTTCAACCCGAAATAGGTTACAGATGTATTGATATTCATTAGCATAAGGTCGATTCCTATCCGACGCAGCATTATTGTTATTAGATTGATCTCTATTTATATCATCTGTATCGTTTTGTCTTTATGTAAAGCTGTTTTAAGTAACTTATTGTCTTTATACATTACAAATCGTAATGACTTAGTAGAAGTATGAAAAGGAACAACACAGTCAGTTAAATCTCTTCCCAAAGAAACAACTAAAGCAAAATAAAAGGACTAACATCGATAAATGACAACAAGACTACCACCGACATCTAATAACATATACATGTATATTAATATTTATCTTGATAGAAACTAATCCAATCGATCTACGTTGTCGAATGTCATTCATATTCATATTGATAAATGACATGTGAGTATACGTCAATGAGAAATCAACCCAACGACAAAGAAAACCAAACGACATCTGAAGGGCAACACTCTTCAACAATGGACAAAATAAAGAAGTACAGCCAACCGTTATGAGAGTACTATAATTAAGACTCTGTAAGATATTTTTCAACAAATTTCTGAGTTTTACACCTGGAGTGAAACATATACAGAAGAAATTGGCATTATGTTTTTATGTTGTACTGTTCCAACTTCAAGGTTAGGGGAAGGTTAAGCGTTCACAATGTTTAACCACGCCAAATTCTTTATGTGCCTGTAGTCCAGTGGTTGTCGTTGGTTTATGTCTGTCGTATTTTTTATTCGGAATTGTTTTGATATAAATAAGACCGTTAGCTTTCTAGTTTGTATTGTTTACATTTTGATAGCCGACTTTACGGTATGGTTTATGTCTGTCGTATTTTTTATTCGGAATTGTTTTGATATAAATAAGACCGTTAGTTTTCTAGTTTGTATTGTTTACATTTTGATAGCCGACTTTACGGTATGGGTTTTTACTGAGACTAAAGTTTTTTTCATTGTTGAATGCTTTAGTATATAGACTATAATTGCTTACATCCACTTCATTTGAACTCTATTGGATATATATAGCTGTCCCATTTGCAATCATATCACATCTACTTATTTTATATAATCTCTTGAATTTTAAAATTGATTTCACAACCTGTTTACATCGGTCTTTTTATAAAGTTATGACGTCATTGCGGCAAATCCATAAAACAGAAAGTCTATTCGAGAAGCCAAACATTGGACGTCGATTAGAGAAGCAAAACATTGGAAGTCGATTTGAGAACAACAAAAAAGCCGTCGATTAGAGGGGTACAAAATTGGCCGTCGATTTTGGAATCTTTTATTGTGACGACAGATTTGGACGTCGATTTGAGGAACGGACGTCGATTAGAGACCGGACGTCGATCTGAGTCTATCTCAAAAGACTTTCGTATTTCTCTCAAAAAGGCTTTCGTATTTCTCTCAAAAGGCTTTCGTATTTCTCTCAATAAGCCTTTGCATTACTCCCAATAGGCTTTCGTATTACTCCCAATAGGCTTTCGTATTACTCCCAATAGGCTTTCGTATTACTCCCAATAGGATTTCGTATGATCAAACTATTACTTTCAATAGGCTTTCGTATATTTCTCAATAGGCTTTAGTATAAATCTCAACACGCTTTCGTATAACCCCCAATAGGCTTTCGTATGACTCCCAATATGCTTTCGAATTTCTCCCAATAGGATTTCGTATAATACTATTGGCTGGGGTAAATTTTCGCAGTAAAATTCGAAAATTCTTGATTATTTGAAGCAAAAATATCATCAAGGTAACGGTAAGCTTTTTTTAATTTATCAATTGAATGTAATTTAGAGGGATCTTTACTGAGTTTTGCCATACAGAGATTCAAAACAATACAGGACCAAGTCTGCTATTAAAGGGGCACAATTGATGCCCATAGGAATACCTACAACATGTCTATAAACTTTATTGCCGAAACGTACGTAAATGTTGTCAAGAAATTTTTTAAACCATTAATCATCTCATCACAGTTCCAGTAAGTATATCTAGTATATTTCCCTTTATTATTACAGAAGAAGGCTTTATATGAGATGCAGCAAATAAATCTGCAACCAGATTTTTCAAAGGACCATTTAATTAAATAAGAGAACTTCTGTTTGATAAGATTGTGTAGAAGTGTAGTGTACTGGGTCGAAATTATAACTATCAACTGAATTGAACGGACCATCAAAAGCACGTTATTTATCCAAAACATCCAACGAGCTTTTGACACTTCAAAAATATTTAATTCCATTATTTTCATATGCTTTATTACAAAAAATAGAACTGTTAACTTATCAATCCTTTAAACAAACTTATTATAAAAGGTCACCTATATATATAGTCAACACTATAATTAAATCTTTGAATATTGTTTCTATTTGTATAAATATTGATTTTGTAATCAGTGAATTAAATCCATACTAAATATTACACATATGTACTTTCACGGTACTACAATCTGTCGATACCTATGTTTTGGCATTGCACAAGGTCATGCTTTTCTCTGACTGTTAATGACGTCTTTACACTAAATCCATTGGATGTTGGATATGTACTGATTGATACGTGCGTCTTAGATACATGTTTTCTTTAATTAGTTGTTATTGGCTTTGAACTAGCTGTCAGTAACTGCGAGTACTCTCAGATCTGTACTTATTGTCTTTTTTGTTGTTAGGGGTGAGGGATAGATATATACCCTGCCACGTCATGTCTGTGTTTTTGTTAAAAATATTTTTCTTTGTATCGATCTGATGAGTTAAACCTTTTTCAACTGATTTTTATAGGTTGTTCTTATGTTGTGCTGTTACACCACTGTCTCATGTTAGGGGAGGTTTGAGCGCTCACAAACATGTTTAACCCCGCCACATTCTGTATGTGCCTATCCCAAGTCTGGAGCCTGTTGTTCAGTGGTTGTCGTTGGTTCATGTTTGTCATATTTGTTTTGTTATAAGTTAGGCCGTTAGTTTTCTCGATTGAATTGTTTCGTATTTTTCATGTCGGGGCCTTTTATAGCCGACTAAACGGTATGGGGTTTTCTCATTGTTGAAGGCCGTACGGTTGCTTATAATTGCTTACATCCACTTCATTTTAACTTTGATGGAAAGTTGTCTCATTGGCAATCATACCACATCTCCTTTTTTATATAGTTAGTACAGAAATATTAGTCATAGAACACTTACTGGAAGCTGAGATGAAACAAAATTTGAACGGGTTTTTGTGTAGTCTAAGAAGCCAATACCAAGTAGGGACTTTCATCCATCCCTTTATGACATAAAGTTGAAATGTCAAATACTATCTTCCACGTGATTTTTGAATGTCTGATGTATTCGTATGACATTGTACCATGGTTGTACCATGGTTGTACCATATCTGTTGCATACAGATTGACATTTTAATCTTATAAAACAGGGTTTATTTATTAGTTGGGATTGAACTATAGCTTATAATTATCAACTGCGAAAACTTTGTGTAGTAAGTACCGATATGTTGGGTAAATCCCTTTTTTATTGTTCTTACTACACGACTTTTACAGTTTGTTCTTATGTTATGATGTTACGCCACTCTCTCAAAGAAGGGAGAGGAGTTAGCTCTCACAAACACCCCAGTTTTTGTTTATCCTGTCGAAATTGAATGAAGACAACGTATATATATATTAACAGGGAAATTAGAGGCAACAGTACTTTACCTTAGATTATCTAAACTCGTAAATTCAGCGCCACTGGTTTGATAGGATAAGATTATCATGAAATTTTGACATGGACAGATCTAATACCTGAAATCAGATAAAACACATATCAC